GGAAGGACAGACATGGCTCATGAACAAAATGAACAAAAAGTTCGACAATGATCACATCAAGAATACGCCACGTACTTTCTAATTAGAATCAATTCGAACTGCTTGCTGTTTGGTCTACGGTACCAGTCCTCAAATCGAAGTTCCTGCGAGTTATCCCCTTGGCGATGAAATCGTCCTTTCGGTGAATTAACGTCAATTTTCTCGCCAATTTTTTTTGAATAACTGATCAGGATGTATTATAAATCAACCCATTTAAAAGCCCACGTATAGCTTGTCAAGCCAACGCTGCTTTGAGCATCATTCAGCCCATTTCAAGCGCATATCGAGATCGAGACTGGTCTTACTGTTAGAAAATAAGGCACCTATTTGCGCGCGCTATATCCAAAGCATTATAGACAATCCGCAGATTTTGTCAGCTGTTGGAGCCACACCGTAACGCTCAAGGCATCACTACTGATGCGGTTCAAACACATGAAGCCAGCCTTCCGCAACCACTACATTTTTGCCTTCCTCCATTATCATCCTTCATTCAGCGGTTCGCACCACGGTTCAATCTCGTAGATCGCAGGAGAACCGAATGAGGGCTTGTAGATCTTCAACTGATGCATTCTGGCATTTTTACACCAAAAGTGGAAGTACGACGCACTTTCCCATCCAAGGTCAACCATTCGTTGGGCCAAGTTCAACCAAAGGAGTTTTTTCTTGAGTGAGGATATTTGGTTCAATGGTAACTTCGGATATGGAGAAGGTGGGAGGAGATGAGCTTCATGAAATGAGACAATATTGTATAAAACTCAGAGCTCAAAAATTTCGTAAGTTTAGCTGTCCACGCGTTACATACACCATCCACTCCCGCCAACGAATTTTTTGGGAGTTGGAAGTATTTCTGTAGGAGATGACTTAGGCACATATGTACATCATTTGGCGCTATCGCAATATACAGGGGCATTTTGTCTAAACCTGTGCATTCTGGTTGAGTAGTGATTATACGCTTGCTAAGACATGGTTAAAGCTCGGGACGCGTTCAAGCACGTACCTTCTGACCTAATATCAGCTGTTTCATTCCTACCCACCCGCTAGTTCTTTTCTGATTTCAGCTACGCTACCCACCCCGCTTTCTTTTATTTGTAACATCCAATCCATTCCGGCGCTATCACAAGATACAGGGGCATCCTCTAGGACTAGACCCAGGACAAGGCAGAAACATTGGAGAAATAAAGAATTTGCTCACGCATTTGATGGTTCTTGTTCGCCACCTATATAAGACTCATTTCCCATTTTGACAGGAAGGCCATGTCTGAAGTGGTTTCGAGTGCACTGCAACCACAATGACCCCGTATCTTGCGATAGCGTCTATCATTTGCAAGTCGAGAGCGGGTAGAAAAAGAGCGTCATGGCAAGGAAAGAGGAAGGGGGGGGTGCGTGATTCCAACTCTATAACAAGTATGATTCTGTCGTCTAGAAGCCGCATATCCATTGATTCCACGACGTCACATCAAGAAACGCCCAATCGCAAATCATCTACTGTGTATTGCGTCGCTGTTATAGTAGAAACATGCGAATCAGCCTTCAATGGAGCATTAACTCTTTACAAACACGTTTTCAAAGAGGGACCGGGGAAGCGATGAGACGCTGGGAATCCGCAGCTGAAATTCTTCCGCTGAGTGGACATCCAAAGTAGTAAGACCACATTCTTGTTGACCATGTGATAGATTGACTAGTCAACAGAGCAACCAATGAATTAACTAGTCGGTCACTATGTCGGGCACGATTAGGGAATCAAGCTAGGATGCTAATCCGTATCTACCATTGTCGTTAGATAACAGACTTTTGGAGGGGAAACTGGACAACCTGGTGCTAATGGAGCATTCCTGCGTAACATTTAGCATGGCTTGAGCGCAAATCACAATGGACGGCATCAAAGAGCCGTTCCCAGTCTTAGATAGCATCAAAAAGACGGTCCAAGTGGACTTCATAGATAAGCAGCTCACGAAAAAACAAAGTCCGCGATCGCATCTAAAATGGCTATCGCATCTATTTTACGAGCCTCGCAGCTAAATTAACGCGAAATTGAGGGGATTGTATAGCCTAGCCGCCTTCAGAGCGCCGTTTCCGCTTTTTAGTCGGGATCCATTATTCACCTGCGCAAATCCGGGCAGAGTTGAATGGGCAAAGTCGATGAGCCGTAACCGTATTGCATCGTCTGTAGTCGAATCTGCCGCGTCGGCATCGAATGCGAACAGCAACGATGACGAGAAGAAGCGGTAGCCGACGCATTCCATCAACGTCGCTCTCAACTCTCGCAGTCTGAAACATTTCTTACATTAATCGCTTGAAATCCTTTATCATCGTACTTCCAATCCAATTCTACGAATCAATTAGCTTATAATGAGATCTGAACTTGAAAACCACATCGTTTTAGAAGAATCATCCGCTTAGAAGCTTAAAGCAGTACTCCCAGCAGAAGTCGTGTCAAAGATTTCCTCCAGTGGGTGGGTAGAGTAGCTCAAGAGGTATCACGGTTGTACCTCGTATAACTTCGTCGCAACTGCAAGGCCATTAAATGACGATATAGTCCTACAAAGTCAGCTTTGATGACTAATCCTCACATTTGGACGAGTTGCGTCGCGCAAATCTCACGACACGCAACGAGGATCAGCGCTGCGGCTGGCATTAGAGTATGCGCCGGGTTAATGAACAGCCGTGGAGCAGGCAAGTGCGTAACATCTGTCCGGTCCCGCCCCTCCACAACCTCAAAAGGCGTCCTTGTTTAGGGCTTTATGGACAGCTTTCTTGGCATCTTTTTTCGTTTTTAGTCAACTCGGCACCACAACTCCATTATCGACCGCAGTTCCCACAAATTTGATCCGCGGGTGGTGCTTTAAGGGCAGGAATTTTGTGATGCAGAGCAACAATTTCCTGTCAAAAAATGAATAGATATGAGCGCCTCCCCAAAACCTCATCATGACCCTTTAAGACTTAAAACATTTAGAGAGCTTTTGCAGGCCTGGGATCAAACATTGTTGAATGGCTCAGTTCAAAAATGGAGAAGATGGACTATAGACTTCGAAGACGGACCGCTAAACAGGTTAGCCCTGAGTCCCCAAGTTCCACGCACAGAAAAGCATCAGGAAATCGCTCGTCTGGATTTGTTGATCTCCTATGAACTACCGTAGTCGAGAACGCAATAGGAAACACAGGAGTATTGATAGAAAAAGTCCAGGTTCAATGGAGCGTTTATTAGTCGAGCGGAGGTGCTTTCGTAGCAGGTGGCACCAGTGCCACGTTCACGTTGAGCCCAGGGAACCAATCTGGGATCGAATCTTGCATACGCCGACAGCTTATGCCCTCCCAGATTGCAGGTTACTGGTGAGATCGCGTTCTAGTGGGAGCCTAACTATGAGCGAAAGAAGAACGCATGGCGTACCCGAATAGGATGATCCAAACGCGAACAACCTTATTTTTTACTTTCCTCATGACTTAAAACGAGAGAGATATTATAACTGCCAATACTCAAAAAACCGCATCATCTGGGTTGCAATTAAACATCTCAACCCGCCTACGCTCCTATTTAAAAGGTATCGCAACCCATTCGCGACATTGCGGCTTAACCTGGGAACGCGTTTTTATGCCACGTGCGAAAAATGCGCTCGAGGTGGGGACGCACCGGTGAGAGAATCTCTTCCCAAAGGATTTCAAACAAAAAAAAAAAAAAAAAAAAAAAAAAAAAAAAAAAAAAGACGACCATGAGTGGCTATATGACCAGGAAGATAGTTTGTGATCCATGATAACCATGGTCGTGTTCGTATCCGTCAGTACCTGTTTTACTCGGGTGAAACGGGTTTTTTTTTTTTTTTGAGTATTGTGAAATATTAGGTTGGAAAGAAAGTTCTCCGAAACCCTTTCCAAAATTTGCTTTTTTTTTCTGAAAAATTCATGGGTAACATTTATGACTAACAAACGGTGGATATAGTAAGTGCTGCAGTCAGTACTTATTCAAGAAAATTCAAAAAAAAACCTTGACCACTAGCAAATCCATACTCCGAGTCGCTGTCTAGTACAAATGCCTCCAAAACTTGATCATGTACAACGAACGCACTATCGGGGTGTGAGCAAATAGCTTCTATAGGCATGCCGTTCAGCGCTACAGCGTGTTTCAGCTTTACCAGCGCTTTCGATCTTTTGATATTTTTATAAGAAACCAGCAGCGTCCCATACACTCCATTGCCGGTAGGGCTCTTACGGAAACTCAACTACAGATTCTTCTTTATGGGCACCATTGTGTAGTAGAGGTCTAGGCTGCGGAACTCCAGAAGCTGGCCGAAGCAGCTCGTCAGGAGCCCTCGTACCGCGACAATATTCATTTCTTTCATGACATTGCGAATCACCATGATCCGAAATGAGCCCGGTAAGAAATTCTGGAGCTGCGGCAAGATTTCTTACCTCTCTGAGCGTATTCCCCTGGTCGAGCTATAAATGACTGCCACCTACCCTGGACCTTAAATCATCATCTTGATGACGAAATAATTAGACGATCAACTCCAACTCGAAAGTGAGGTCGCCTCCTTTCTCGACCCGCACTCCGCTGGGTTTTGGCGAAGGAGCATCAAGAAATTTTCTGAGCGATGGAGACAAGTGGTGGACACTCATGGTAGATATAAGACCGGTCAGGAGTTGTAACCAAAAAAGATAAAATTAAAATCAAAAATTTCGGAAAAGTCGCAGGACTTTCTTTCCAACCTAATAATTACTGGAGATAAGCTTGTAATTCTGAAGATATGCAGCTGGTTTTTCGCTTGCATTTATCTAGAGTATCGGTACATCTTTCCACGAGGAATGGACTGGATCCAACCCAATTTACGGATCTATAGAGAAAAATTTATGTCTCCTCCGCGGCTCGCTTCCGAAATCATCCCTGCGCCAAAGGAAAACTTGACGCTTTCTTCAGAAGCTATTGACAGGTCCCAACAATTTTTGCTCTAACGTCGAACATTTTCGGTACAGATGGTTCCCGGCATTGTGACGCTTTTTGTGAGAACACTAAAAAAAGCGCCTTCCAGGCAATAAGAATGCGAAATCGGCGTGTCGCCAGGGTTTTAAGACACCATCACTGGAAAAAAAAAACAGCTTCCGCACATTCGCCACACCAACATAAACCAACCGCGTAAATTCCAACATTCTTCCTTATCACCAAGCCAAATATGAGGTAGTTACACGGGGATAATGAACGCGGTGAATATCTTTGCGGGATTATGCAGAAAATAAAATAGCAGCAGAACAAATATTGTTCAATTTTGGAGCAAAGCATAGCCTTTCCTTAGGAATCGAAATAGCATTTCGAGAGTGTTTTACTCCCGACATCTACTTAGTAGAGATCAACCAAGGCCGGAGAGATAAAAAAAAATATTGCTGTTGAGAGATGGACGCTCACCTCATGGGTCACACATTTAGTAACCGTTTTTTTTTCAAATTCGATCAGAATGGCGATTTTAATTTAAAAGTTTTGTCATGCCTGTTAAGTTCTAGTGTGAGGACACAAAAGAGAACCAGGCAGCGCTTGGAGGAAGCTTTCCAATTTTGCACCATTTTTTCTCACAATCAGTAGCTAAAAATATTGAGGGGCTGACAGGTCGAATGTGTACAATACGGTCTTGTTGGGGAATGAAATTTTCTCACCACCTATCAAATTTTGTATGAATATTGGTACTTTTTGATATTATAGTATATTCACTATGGGTTAGAGACGCATAAAAAGCAACAAATGATACAGTTAGGGAAGGAGGTTTTCTAACATGTAGGATGCAGGACAAGACGGATCAGTGTTCAAGTTTATTTATGATCAGAGAAACTTGGGATACAAGTGGAAGCGCATTAAGCGAATGTAAAAGCGATTACGATTGCGATTGGACCAGTGGATACCCCCGCCCCAAACTTAACCCTCATGGTCACACTTCACATGAAAACGGAGGATTTAGTGGATCGAAGGCAGAAAAGCAAGAGTTTCGGCAAGTCCCTATGACCCCGAAGTGGCGAAGGGCATCACAGCCGGCTGATGCAGGTGCTTATTGGTGGGATACAGTGCTGCTTTTCGGTGGAAGCTCGTCTATCTCTCTATTACACCAGATATTATCTTAGCATTTTACTTCTCGACTTTCACGGATGGGTTCCCGCTAATCAGAGACTGCCTCCTGCTCATGTATGCCTTTCATGTAATACTAGCGATTGTGTTGCCATTAGTTACCCGCTCTTTCTGACCTGTTCTGGGGTTTTTTCAACGCCTATTTCTGAGTTGATCTTGCAGTCTTTTGTTTCGGTTTTCCTTTTCTTTTTTTGCCCTGCTTGCCCCGGCTTTGTTCGTTAAATTACTACCCGCATGTTTTTGGCCGGCCATTTCGTTAGAAGTTATGAAAATAAATAAAATTAAATAAAATTAGAAATAAAATTAAATAATAAAATAATCATTGAATGGTGGTTTAGATTCAAAAACTGAAAACCTGAGAGTTACTGCGCATCGCAAACTTATCCGAAAATTAGGGGTTTGTTTCCTTTCCCTAGCAGGACATCTTATTCTGGTTTTTTTTCGAAAGAAAATGTGATAAACAACCTCAGATCAAATGTAGTTGAACAACAACGGTCGGATAATGAAATTGTGGATGCCGAATTCACTGAAAATAAAAAAAGAAGCAACGCAAACCGCCGACGAAGCCATTAACAAACACTTCCCCTCTTCCTGCTTGATTGAGGGAGGAGCCGCGTCTGGAGGAGTTCTCCGAAAAACTCGGCGTGGCGTGCATTGCTCCACTAACCCACGCCAACTTGAAGTGCATTATTCTCTACGTCGTAATTCACTGCTGCGTACCACGGCAATGGTAGCGTCAGGGATCACGGTGCGCCAGGTATCTCGTCCATAAGTTGACATTAGTCGCTATCAGATCACTTGTAAGGCCCTAGCGCCATTGTCACGCACTTTTGAGCCGCGACAGCGGCACAGGTGTAATTATCTGGGATAATTGCTCTGACAAGTAAGAGCGGTTCAATTTAGACTGACAGTATCAAAGTAACAGAGCTTACTTTCAACACAACGGTGTCCAAGAATCTCGGCCGAAAGTAATGAGAAATTTGAGAATAATGGCACCAAGGCGAATGAGTGTAAAGGTAGATAGAAGAAAATAATAAGCGCAAAACGAATCAAGAAAAAAATGGTCAATCAAAAATAGAAAAAATACTCGCACTCACCTATGCCTGAGGCGAGCCGCTCGTCCGATTCCACAAGTGCGAACGAACTTTTGGAGGTAAAGGCGAAATTGGGCCGCGTCTATCCGTCGACCCTCTTGTTTATCAACAAAACGTATAGGACTATAAATAAAAAATATAGAAAATACATGAGAAAATGAAATTTGAAACAGCACCTTCGTTCTCGACTCATACAACTGCATTCCAACCATCCTCACTCCTAACGTCGCACTTGTCGATTCACGACATTTTCTTAGCTGACGATGACGCTTGGACTCAGATGCATCGTCTCCATGTTGCCTGAAGGTGAGGCTTATTTTCAGGATCCGAAAAGTCACCTACAGTAATCGTAGATGATTACCTGGTTCCTATCTTGAGATCTACAACACATGGTCTCGAAAATGTTGCCACTATGTTGTTGAGCAGAATGAACCATGAATAGGAGCCCTCAAGCAGCTTATGAACCACCTAAAGCCATCACCTATTAAAACTGGAGTCATGACGGTGGAGAAGCGCTGAAGTACCTTGCTTTGACACTCAGCTGCCCAATAGTTGTTCGGCACGCGATCCGTGATCACCTCAACTCTGCCTGAATCGCCAATGCGGAAGCGGACCGAGCCAGATCTCTTCAGCTTTGGATGGCACTCCACAACCGGTTCAGCTACCAGATGCAGCTCACCGTCATCGTCCACGGTAGCACATACTCTGACGCGACCTTAACATGGCAATGTATGGACAGAAAAATAAATGCAGGAATGGTCAAATGTACGGACAGAAAAATAGAATGCAGGGATGGTGCAAATGGTGAAAGGACAAACCACAGTAGTCCGGCACAAATCTCCTCAAATTTTCGCCCATCAGCTCGTAAAAGGCGAGTTCCCTTGTATTCATTGGCTTCGCTACATGGCCATTGCATTGCAGTAGTCCGAAATGACCTCCTACCTGAACAAGAGAACAATGCATACGAACAGCTTACAACTAGCAGCACCTAAAGGAAAAGCTTCGATCAAGAAAACAAGATCCTAATTTGGCTGTTTGAAGCTATCTTTCGAAGCAATCATTCTTCTATGAGTAACAACTCTACTTCGCTGAAAACCTATGTGATTGAACCCTACCCTAATGGGAAATCATGATTCGCGAAAGGAAGACGCGATATGATCACACGGATTCACCTTGGCAGGACAGCTAGAGGAAAGCTCATCATTAATGCATGACTGGGAGCCTGTCACGAGAGATGTAAACGCTGCACTTGATCGGACTAGTTTGCAAACTCCAAAAGCGAGCGCGAGCGCTGAGCACAGTGACAACCCCACAAGAGTATTCGAATTTGGTCAAAAACAAGCTTTTCGGTAGTCTGGATAGAATTTCCGTCGAACTTCAATTGTGAGACGGAAGATCCCTTTCTCTTCAAAAGAACAAATTGACGATTAACCAGCGAGAGAACGTGAATGGCGTAAAGGCAAGCGGCGCTACTTGCTACGCGCACAGCCCAGGACCAAATTCCGAAAGAGATCCCGTCCAGGCCAACCAAACCGTTAACTCTAATTCGATAACAATGAAGGCCCGACTGGGGAGACCTTGTATAAGCTGAATTGATTCAAATATCATTGAACAAGGTCTTTCGGGTAGTACCCTGCTTTTTAAAAACGTATTTTTTTTTTACATGCGTAATGGAGGCGATACATAGAACGCAGAACTATAGTTCAATTTTCGCGAGCCGCTAACTAGATGCCAAAATTGGTTTAAAGCCCAAGCTTTACACATTTTTGACACCAGCTCATGGTGAAAGTCTACTCATATGGGATTAGTGATGGTCCTTACCGTGTAATGATACATCCGTACCAGCTGTGGGTACAATTTTGTGACATCATACAAGAAACGCAAAACTTTATCCTTACGGGATATAGAACCTTGAACTTGAACGATCTTTCGCCGCTTTATTGCAAGAGGGTCACTCAAAAAAACAAAAAAAAAAAAACCAAGCATAGTTCTATGTTCCGTACACACGTTTCTACATAATGCAAGAAACCGTCCCTGGAAAAAAACGGTGCATAACCTGAAAGCCTTCCAAAAACGTAGGGTCTTACTTTGCTGTTCGGTTTACAGTTCGAATGTGGAGTAGTTACATCGATCTTGCAACCGTGCGATACCATGATCGATGTAACTACCTCACACACTCGAACTGCAAACCGATCTGCAATGTATGACCCGACTTTACGACAGAATTAGAATGCGTGGCGCATCCCATAGGATCGATGAACGTCAATGCTTGTCTTTTTCAAGTTTATTTTCGCATTGCTTAGGGCACACAGTAAAAATTCATGCGATGTATGGGTGTAAAAGGGATAGTTGGAGATTGAGAGAGACAATTTTTCTACAGGCCAACAAAGCAATGAATTATTCAAATTACACCTCATTAGATCCAGCCGAGCAACAAGGGTAATGGGCACGCTGATGATTTTTTTGCTCACCGATCAACAGCACTACCTTTGAACTTCAACCCAGTAACACGTCCTTTTCCAAACACTATCCCTCCCAAAAGTTAGGATATACATGACCCTATCAATGTAAAATTCACCCTTGTACATGATCGTGAATGACTAATCTTTCTCTGGGGCGGTATTCAATCCTTCCCCCAGGGGTTGGGGGACGGAAATCCCTTTAAATTTATTTGTTTTTAACGATGTAGTTTCTTCATTTTCAATGCATGCTTACTGTGACATACATACATACATTAAACCTAGCCCCTTTATCAGGACAATCCCAGTTGGGAAGACGGAGAAAATTTAAAGGGTTTTTCGTCCCCCAACCCCTAGGGGAAGGATTGAATACCGCCCTGATGTTTTGAAAATGAGTCTGAATAAAAAATACAAAAAAAAAAATTCTTCACGAACCTGATGTGGAAACCCAGATAACTCCATGTACCCGTGCCCACAACCGTCAGAACACCAATTGAAGAACAACCACGAACGCTGAAATAGATGAGCATATCACGTGTGTTACACCAAGAGCCCACAAAACAAGGCGGAAGTTGGTGTTCCGTTCATGTGAAAATTATGTGGATAGCAGTTTTCGTTATTAAATAAGTATCCACGAGTTGTGATGAGAAGCACGGAACTTCAAAAGGGAGACGAACTTCAGGAGAAAACGAGGGTAAACAGCGGTTGTGGTCACTCCGTAGATAACCCCGCTAGTAATCCCAATCATCAATGAAGATAGCAACGAAATCAGAAAAGCACACTGAAAACAAGCCTTTCTGACGGAAAACACAGGAAAGGAGACGGCGCGCAGAAGTTGGAACGGAAGAGGAAAAGACTGAAAGACGCGCAACGACGAGGAAATCGATGACGGCATGTACAGCCAGCCGGCCACGTGAGAGCATTTTGCATCATCGTCAAAACAAACCACATGCAGCTAACAAATCCAATTTATTCCCTAGCTGACATAGCGGAAAATTGCTTCCGCTCAGCTAACCGCCTTCGGCTTTCTGAGAATCGCCAGGGTTTGCGCACTGTTGTGGAAGGAGGATCACCTCAGTGCTGAACGAGAAATTACAGAGGAACCACGGGGACAAATAAGGCAGCTATGGAAACCTCAGCAAAACAGTTTTCTTTAACGAAGCCCGGCACGCAAATTGTGGCAATCTGCTCTCATTATCGCATCCCCTTTGAGCTAAACCTTTCAGAAGTTTCAGAGCTATCGCAAGATACGGGGGCATTGTGGTGGAAATGCATCTGAAACCGCATGAACATGTTCTTTTCGGTAGAAAAGAGACTAAACCTTAAGACGTGGAAGGAGAGACTCCGAAAAGCTTCAGCGTTTTTTATTTTCTCCCGAGTTCCTGCCGCTACTGAACTTAGTCCAGAGGATGGCCCCGTATATTGCAATAGCGACAGTTTCTTTGACACACCTGAGCTGGTCCGGTATGATGTAACATTTAGCACGGGTCCAAAGTTCCCGTTATGAGGTTGGAATTGCTAGCGCCCATTCTGGACCTTCCACGAGCCGGCTCGGCTGACAGTTCGCGGTGATTGAATCGCCTTCTAGCCTCCAAACGACGTTCAATTAGTACGTAAAATCGACGCGTCGCACCAGCCAGCAGGCAGTTCGCTGAGCTCCGGCGAGCTGCTCACTAAGCTCGCCACTATGGTGTAATATGAGAAACGGGTGGGGTGCGAGTATGACGGAGAGGCAAGAGAAACGAGCGTCGACGCAGAGTGGACAGCTGGCTGGTGAGCCTCACCGAGGCATAAGAGAGATGGCCGACTGGCCGGAGGGTGCGAGACAGTCGATGGCGGCCATCCGAAGCGGTCTGCTCGAGGTCCTCGCTCATGGAGAATGGCATCGAGTTCATGCTATGCTCGATCCGACAGCAATCACTCTACAGGTCAGTCAGTCTGCTCCACCTACCGTCAAGGGCAGAATTATGCCCTTCGCTCTGATTTGATTAGCTTCCTCGAAAGCTCCATCTATTTATACGCATAATTGAACACGTATAATAAAATACAGGATTGATTGACGAAAAAACTTCGTTATACAACATCGCTTGCTTGTTTATTGCAGCTACTGCAGTTACCGTAACCTTAGTTTGCATTTAAATTCGTGACCGCATGTAAAAAAAGACAGCTTCACTATTTCAGTGTCCGCGGTCCATTTTGAATATATTTTACTTTGCATATATTCCAAATAAGGCATAATTTTGAGTAAAGTAAAGTATTACCTGGGAGCATGAAAGATAACATTTAAATACCATATATAATAGTTTATAAAATATAAACAAACCTAACTTCGGAATTATCTTGCGACAACTTTGTAGATCAAAAAGTTTTCCTTTTTTCAAACTACCGTAGCTAACCATCAAACCTGGGTCAAGAATTCGCCCGAACAGGTGAAAAATGGATTTTTGAGAGGAATCCGACTGGGAAGATCGAAGTGGAAGGGATCTATTTAAAAGAGAGCTGTGAAGAGGTTTTCAAGAGATGCTAATTATTTTAGAATTTTGTTTCTGGTGCTATATATACTCCTTCTGTTCCCAGGTTAAAGGGTTTTTTTTGAGTAAGTGGTGGTAAGAAATGGAATGGTAAGGTCGTAGTAAGGTTACAGGTGATGTGCAGGGAAGGAGGGAGGGAGCGGTATACTAGAAATCCCTCATTACTATGCTTGACCTTGGATGCTATTGCCCACAAGCCCTTTCCCACCCGTCTCATTCCATATTCGCTTTCTCTCTCTCGAAATTAAGCAGCAGTTAGCGGAGGATGAGAGGAGAGAGGCACACACGAGGTGAGCAACAACGCACGAATCGAAGCACATAAAAGCAATTCCAAGCGTGTGAAGTCGTTGAATATCACGCTATGCCTTGAATCTCGTGATTCATTAAACGAGGAAGACTCTGAAAGGGGGACCACAAAACTATTCTATTTCACCTTTGATATTACCATTTTTGACTTGTTCTTATTAGATAGCTGTTTTACGGTTGCAAAAGTTATCAGAAGAATGCTGAGTTGTGGGCAAAACTTTCTGTCCAGCCGGGATTCGTACCCGGATCTCTTGCTTTCCGGGCAATTGTGGCTACCAGTTACCACCGGAGCACCATTTCACCCCAACTCAGCTTCGATGGTAATTTACCATAGCTTATCAGCAAATTTTGCCCACATCTCTGCATTCTTGTGCGTCACCTTTGCTAGTTATATAGCACTCACATAATATCACGAAAATTTATTACAGCATCTGATTTCAGAGATTTTAGTAGAGGTCAGAGCAAGGGTATGTCGGCAGCACTTGAAAGGGGGAATTATGAAGAGAGATCCTCGAATTGATCCAGAGAGCTTGATCATTTTGTTGATGGAACACAATGTGTATGCTCATGAACGTGTAGGGCCTTGTGGTGCTTTTTATCACAGTGGTTTTTGATGCTGATTGGTGAAGTGCGGGCTGAATTGGCCACATGTAGGTGCTGAATCGCTAATGAGCATGACTAAGAAAGCAAAATAAATGATCAAGAAACCCTGGGACAGACCTTTTCCGACCCACCTATAAGGGGACTGTACTAAGAAATTTGACAGCACAAATCCCACCCTACTACAGTCTGATCAATGATATTATAGGCGCCCCAGAATGAAATTGGTGTGATTTTTGCACACAAATGTGTATTGATGCGAAATGACCCGGCAGTGAAGAAAAAAGGGAAAAAATTCGAAAACGCTTGTTAAGGGCTCACTCACCTTCTAATCGGCTGTGCTAAGGGAATGAGAGACTAAGCGCGGAGAGGAGAGTATGAGGCGAGAGAGCGCAACAGATGAGAGGCGCCAGACAACAGCCTGATAAGAAAAAATGCAGCTGCTGCAGCTACTTTGCAAGGCCCTAGCGCTCTTGTCGGGTGTTTGCACGGAATGCCACATCTGTGACTGTCCTCTAGTGGTCTATCCTAGGCCGAAGGGAGTCGTAACACGACTTGCTTGGGCTGTGCCTTCAAATCGGAGTCGTTATTTACCTAGACCTCGTTCTGCAATATTTTACGTCGAGGAGAAAACAGCACCTCCATTAACTACTTTTCGCACTCTACTTAAAAGTGGAGCCGATGTCATTTTGGCACCAGTTTTTTGGGCACTTTTCACTGCTGAAAGCTTTCTCATTCAAAAGCTTCAATATATGTCACTGAAAATAGCCGGATAGCCAATCGATCTTATGCAAAAATGGGTCAGTTTCTTCACGAAAGGATTACAAAGGCTCAACAAAAAGAATGGAGCGCGCTTCATTGTTGTCAGTTGAGTAATGGAGCAAAAGTGTTCGAGTGATTCCAGAAAAAGGTGACGCATCTCGAAAAAAGGTCGATTTTATCAGTGAAATATTCAGCATCAACCACTGATTAGCCCATTCGCGACCGCGTGGGATTGCGCAATAGCAGTACAGTCAGGAGATTTTTGTTCAATAAAATTTGAGTGGACGGAGATTTCCTCTGCCCAGGGCTGGCGTAGATGAATGAGGGTATGAGATTATTTTCATGGAAGAAAATGTTCCAAATCCCATTTGAAACGCGTAGCCAACAGTGTGCCATTGCCCCGAGTGAGATCTGGTACACCCGGTGCTGCCATTGTCACGAATTGGTTAGGAGCCACATGTACACCCCATAGGCGCTCATTTCGTTAGGGGGGCATCATCAGCGAGGGCGCCACGTACACGTGGCTTTATACCAAGCGGTTGCAAGCAAGAAAGGCTCGGGGAGGAGATTTGAAAAATTTATGTTCACCATGGCCTTTCCCCCACTCCTGGGCTTAGTCCTAGGGTCACCTTCCATCAGCCTTGTTTTGAATGCCCCCCCCACGCAGGCATGAGAGTCCTTTGTACTCAAGCATTTGCACACCACATCATTCCAAACCGCCCTTTTCAGGTGATTGACACAGATCAAAATCAAGAGTTGGACGCTGAAAAAAGGACAGTACGTGTTGTAAAATATGACGGAAATGGCCTGGGAATCAGCATCAAAGGGGGACGAGACAACAACATGCCCATCATTATCAGGTACATTCAAGACGAATCAATAGACTGGATTTTGCTTGCACTTCCGAAATGATAACATTTCCAGCAAAATCTTCAAAGGAATGGCCGCGGATGCCACAGGAGAGCTATTTGTCGGCGACACAATCCTCGCCGTTAATGGCGAATCGCTTATCGATGCCACACATGATGATGCTGTGCGAGCGCTGAAGAGAGCTGGACGAGTGGTCGACCTTTACGGTAATCAGACGAATAGAAAATTGAATTTTACAGATAGTTCAAGTACAGTGCAAATTCAGTGCAATACAAACGAGACGAAGGAGTGCGACGGACAAACGTGTGGAGAGATCGAATGGACGGACTGACCGCGTGACAGAATTCGAGCCATTGGGCTAAAACTCGCGTGTGTAGCTCGAGCTGGAATCGACGCTGACGCTGAGGGCCGGATATTCGAGGTATATGGAAGACATGAGTGTGAGACCAGAGGTCGGGTCAAAGAGCTGTGTTACAGATGAGAAGTCCGTCGGCCGTTATGCACTAGCATTCCGCTGCGCCTCTTCTGTGGAGGCCGATTCCTGGTTCGAGGCAATTCATGGCTGTGCTAATGCCCTGCTAACGCAAGCACTTGCTCAGGTAGGGTAAATATTTCAAAACGAACCACTTCTAATGCCTACAAGCCCTAACTTTTTCAGGTGAACCTCATAATGGCTTGGCGGACGACGACCACAAGTAGCGATGGCTGGGTATCAGAACAGGTGAGAAAATTCGCATACTTCTTGTCAAAAACGTACTCTTCGCAAGCTGTTGTTGTCTTTCTAACCTGTTATGCTGTCTTTCACGGCGTTATTTTCCTAATATGTAAATAGGATTACCGTAGTGGCCGGCCACAACAAAGCGCGCTCACTAATGCTCAAGACTTAACTTTCGACTGAGCGAAAAACAATACTCTCGACTGGGGGCTGGAAGTCGGAAGGATCAGTACCAAAGCTTAGTTTATTTTTTTCATATTTTTCTTTCTGTTCAGCAGAAAATAGAAAAATACTAAATAAAACTATAAATAAAACTAAAAAAAATGTTAAAAAGGCAGTGTCTACGACAGCATCTCTAAGCGGTCTCTAGGTCAATTTGAACGTATCGTGAGCATTCCAGATTAACACATTACACGTCATTTCGTTTTCCGTCAGCGGCTATAACGCTGGGCCAATGCATTCAGGCGGAGTATTACGATTAAGAGGGCAGCTTATCCAAATTGAGGTAGAGGAAGTTAGTTGCTTCGGGAGAAGAACAAAAACGGAAAAATAAACCCAAGGAAGAGACCCTTTTTTTGCCAGTGTTGATTTGCGTCCGCCTATCCCGCAATCTCTTCATCGGTGCTCGCCTCCTTAAACGTGGCTAACGCTCCCTACACAGCTAGAGATTCTGGGTGAGGGGCTAGCCAGTCGGTGGGCGAGCCGCGTCTACAGAGTCGCGGGATGGCCATGTTAGATCGCTCTCCATTAGCTTAATTTTTCCTTTCTTTGAACTTCAGCCTTATCGTGAAATCTCCTTTGAAGGCGAATCGACAGGTAATTCTCGTTGAAGGATATGCCCCGGTGATCTAGCATGGCCGTTCTCGAGCCGCTATCGACGCGGCACGCCAACCCGACTGGCTGATCCCATCGCAGCCAGTTTTCATAGCCGTTAGAAGAGAGAGCCGTTTAGCGTTTAAGACCCGAGCCCGCACCCGAGTCGCATCACAATGCTAAATAAACGAAGAGTAAGGGTCCGCATTCTCGACTCTGGTCATTTTTCGTCAGATTTTCCTTCTTTCGCATATTCAATTAACGATCTCTGAAGTTAGTTTCGCCATCGGTTTGTCTTTTAACCAACCGAAAGTTCGCCTTCGAGGCCTCCTTGAAAATAAAATTTGCAAGCGATGCTCCATATTGTTGATGCGCAGGCCAGAATGTAATCGGAGAAACGTAGGAAAAGATAGTCGAGGAAAGAAGAACGCATTCATGTATGCAGATTTCTCACTATGACTACATATGACAAACTCCCGTCCCACCCTAGACATTGTTGTGATGACATAGCACAATTTTCCCACATTGCTCATTTGTTTGCATGCTGTTGCGATGACATATAGTTATACAAAAACGCCGTGGAAACCCGATCTTTCTCTCGATAATATCATAACCCTTTCTTTCATTCACCTCAATTTTCTACCACTTTAACCTAAACGTATCCTACGGACAAGGCTAACCGTAGTCGACAAAAAAATTCAGAAAACATGCCAATTTTCTCGCACACATCCAGCAACTCTTCGCTTTTAGCATAGTTAGTACCAAAAACGTGTGAAAAGAAGCACAACACCTTTTTCAGGCTTTCAGAAGTAACATTCAACATTAACTACAAAAATACGAAGAAATTCACATGGTTCTTACAAGACCTGAAGGGAGCAGTGGGTCGATCCACTGCCTGAGGGAGCATGGGTCGACCACCCATCTCAAAGGCACCCAAAAGAGACCTTATTCTGCCTACTCACCGAGGGGCCATTTCCTCCACTAAGCTTCTAGCACAGTCCAAACAAGCTCCATCAACGTGGATGCATTTTTTCATTCATGAATTGGAAGAACCATTATTGCCTTTTCATGTGGAGAGGATTGCAAGCTCAGAGCCAGACTTTTTGGATGCGGCACGCATTCTACTTCCATTTGTACATTCGTAGTGGCGTTTGAATGCGATGTGGCCTATACAATGACTTGCGGGGGCCAGCCGATGTACAAGTCAGTGTTTTTATCCTCCCAGACAAGTCTGGTACCAATTAACCGACCCCGGAGGGATGGAAGGCTTGGTTGGCCCGGGCGACTCACGACCCAGGATTTGATCCCCGGACCGCTCGCGTGGTAAGCGCGCCACTTGCCACTAGTCTCATCCCACTATATGCTACAAAAATTCAAGCAAAAATAGAGCAGCGATTCCTACTTCCACTACAAATAAAACCAGTGCCCCTCAAGGTGCTCAAGTCTGCTTTCTACGAGCTCGAGACAGTGTTGTCCCGTTCACGTGTCATACTAAAAACATTGGCCTGTCCCGCGTAGGTTCTTATAATAGGGGAAAAATTTCCAACTCGAATTTAACACGTTGACGACAACGCGCGTTTTGGGTTTTTGCGCCGCGTGGGACCACGGCGATTTTGCAGGCGCCGCCGCCTCACATCAAATCCGTGAATTTTGAGCTTTAAATACGCAAAACTCGGATGCAACAAAATGTTTAGAATGATATTCGATGTGTCAAACTTATCAGAAGGGACAACTGTAAAAAATCGATCGAATTGACGTTTTCTGGCGATGAAAAGGCAAGTTTCAGTTGCTTTTGCTGTAGTGAACCTCAAAATTATTTTTGACGCGGTTGCTCCACTAAAAACATATGTCTTGCTATATGTGTGGGTCTGTACTTACTTCTACTGCTCTTTTTTATGACCAAGATTATCAGAATATAAAGGAAACTAGGAATGAACACAATTGGGAAATTCGTAGGGCTTAGAAAACCTTCGCTAAAAAGGAGCATATTCAACCATT